ATATATATATATATATATATATATATATATATATATATATATATATAGGATTAAGATCAAGGGAGAACCCTAAAAAATAAAAAAACCAAAGAGTTAGATTGAGATGATCCAACCAATGTTGTTAAAAATGTGGTTATAACCATTTTTTAATTAACATATTTTCCCCAAAATTTTTAATTAACACCAGATGATCACTTTTTTTTTAATTTGACATTCGATCATTTTGATATATATTTCCATCCGTTTTTTCATGGTTCTCCGGTTCTTTTATTTTTCACGGTTCTTCCTTGATCTTTACCCCATATATATATATATATATATATATATAGATATATATGTGTGTGTTTGTATATATTGTAAGGGATCCTATATATATATATATATATGTCTCTCTGTATATATATAGATATATATGTGTGTGTTTGTATATATTGTAAGGGATCCTATAAACTATTAAAAGAATAAGATGGAGTGAGATGCATGACCCTTGAGATATTGAAAGACCCCACAAACAACCCCTGATTCCTTCTCTTCCCTTCCCTTCTCTTCTCTCATCCCACATAAAGCTTTCATTTTTTTGCCTTTGTTCTTTGCAAGAACTCACCATCTCTCTCTCTCTCTCTCTTCTTTACTTTTCTCTCTCCCTCTCTCTCTCTCTCATCTCTCTCCAAATACCACCTTTATTCTCCCTAGACCTCACCCCTTAAAAGAAGACGATCCCCCTCTTGATCCTCCTTGTGTTCACAAACAACACCTCTCTCTCTCTCTCTCTCTCTCTCTCTACACTTGAGTAGTGTTTGAAACCCTAGATAAAGAAACAGGAAAATTTAGGGTGCAACCCTCTTTCTTATCTGTTGTTGATCTTTGTTCCAGCATATACACAAAAACCCTATTCAATTCCTCTCTTTTATTAAGGTTTCATTTCTCATATATATATATACTACTCTTAAATCTTGATCATATACATATATATATATATATATTCGATCTGTATACGTACAAAAATGATGGCGTCTGCCTCCGAGTTGAGTCTTGAATGCAAACCCCATAGCTACTCCATGCTCTTGAAAACAATCGGCGATCAACAATTAAGCAACACCCATGATCAAACTCAAAAGATCGAAGAGTTCCTCTCGCGTCTTGAGGAAGAACGACTCAAGATCGATGCTTTTAAGCGCGAACTTCCCCTTTGCATGCAACTCCTCACCAATGGTATAGTGTGTATATATGCATATATATACATATAAATATATATATATATATATATATATATATATAATCTCTTGATATTTGATTTCGATTTTGATTAAATTGGTTGTAAATGTACATTAATTTAAGTTGCATGCATAATAACTTGTAGTGATATGTGTGATATTTTCTGTAAAAAAGCTCAAGAGATTGCATCCAATTTATTGAACTTTTGTTTGATTAATAACTTATAAATGATTCCAATTCATAACTTTTAGGGTTTTCATGAAAAAAAATGTTGATTCACATGTGATTATGCAATCTTTTTTGTCTTTTGCTTTACATGTGCCTTCATGTAACTTTAAATTTTAATTGGTTTTTTTTTTCAAATTTTAAGATCATTCAAAAGCAACCCATGATTCAAGATTTACCCTCAATTTCAAATTCAAAATTTTATGTACAAATATTTGATTTTGATTTTGTTTTTTTGGATCTTGGTTTGATGTTTTGTGATCTTTTTGTAGCGATGGAGACATCGAGGCAACAATTACAAACATACCGTGCGAATCAGGGTTCACCGGTGTTGGAAGAATTCATACCCTTGAAGAATTCGAACCCTGAAGGACCGGAAAAGATGGCACTTTCGAGCGTCTCTGATAACAAGGCGAATTGGATGACCTCTGCCCAATTGTGGAGTCAGGCTAGCAGTACCACCACCACCACCACCAACGCCACTGCCACGGCCGGCACCACCACTGATACAAAAATAACGCAAAATTCAACTGTTTTTACAACAACAGCAAATGAAACCGATATCAGTTTCAATGCGAATAAGCAAAGAAACAACGGAGCGTTTCTTCCATTCTCGAAGGAGAGAAACCCATCCTGCCCGACTCCGGCTTTAACGTTGCCGGATTTGGCACTTGCTTCTGGTGATAAAGATGATCATGAAGATAACAAGAGTTGTTTGAGGGAGAACAGTTCTATCAAAGGCGGTAATGGTGATATTTCCGATAACCAAACCATCACCACCACCACCACCGCCGCCGGAGCCACCACGAGTTCGCAGACTCATAGGAAAACAAGGCGGTGCTGGTCGCCGGACCTCCACCGGAGATTTGTCAATGCTCTTCAGATGTTAGGTGGTTCTCAAGGTGAATTTACCAATATCGTCCCATCTTCATTTCAAAGAAACTTAAATATAAAATATATTTAATTCCTATAAATTTTATGATATTTCATAATTATATCATGATTAATAAATCATTAACTGATATTTATATGAATAATTATCAACAGTTGCCACTCCTAAACAAATCAGAGAGCTCATGAAGGTTGATGGTTTGACCAATGATGAAGTCAAAAGCCATTTGCAGGTCTCTATCTCTCTCTCTCTCTCTACATATATATATATATATATATATATATTTGCGGTTTTATTAAGGAACTCGACCATTATTACAAACTATGTAAACCAATCTTAACCGTTCATCTAGTCTAATGAATATCTGATTCAACGGTGTGTCTTGATAATTTCTTATTATAAAAAGTTAGATCACATGTAAATGAACTATGATAATCTTTTATAAATATCCAAATCATAATAAATAAACTCTCATCATTTCATAAATATCTCAATTAATTGATTTGTATAGTTTATACTAATGGTTAGATTTGTAAAATATATATATAGGGTTGGGCTCACGTGAGACCGTCTTCTTTTTTTGTGAGACCACAAAATTAATACTGAAATTTCTCAGCAAAACATTATGAAGGTAAAAAAATTCAAACATTCATAGCAAAAACACTGTGAAAACTTTACCTTCATAGTGGTTTTTTCGAAGGTTTGATGTTATTTAGATGGTCTCACGAAAACAGTATGATCTTACGTCATCGTAAGTAAATTCATGAAATTGTTAATCTTGTTTGTGTGTGTGTGTAAATTCATATTCTCATCTTGTCGTACAAACCATACAATGATGCGATGTTGTACTTGAGATGTACAGCAAAACTACAGAAACGTCTTTTTGCTTATTTTTTTAGTTTCTGGAATTAATTTATGTTTTTTATTCGACACTTTTTACAGAAATACAGACTTCACACAAGAAGACCAAGTCCAAGCCCACAATCCGCCGGCAACGCAGCACCGCAGCTGGTGGTCCTCGGCGGTATATGGGTGCCACCGGAATACGCCACCGCTGCCGGAGCACAAACCCTCTACACCACCCACCCCAACGCCACCACCACCAACACACATTACTGTACACAACAACTCCCCCAAGACTTCTACCCTACCCCCGTCCTACCACCACCACAACCACCGCACCACCACCACCACCACCATAATACCACCACCACCACCAACCTCCACCACCAGCTCCACCACATGTATAAACCCTCCTCCCACACTACCCAGAGCCAGCCGGACTCCAACGGCCGCGGCGGCACCACCACCACCACCACCGGCGGTGGCAACCGGTCGGAGAGCATCGAGGATGGGAAGTCGGAGAGCGGCGGCAGCTGGAAGGCGGACAGTGGTGGAGAAACGAAGGCGTTGATTTTGAGGGACGAATGTGAAGAAAGCAATGGGAGTGAGATAACACTCAAATTCTGAGGTTAATTATAATTAATTAGCAATTAGATTAAATATTAGTTTTAATTAATTAACTAAAATTCTGGTGCTATAAATCAGGTATTAAGATTTTAGGGTATAGAGTGAGAGGCCAGGGGTAAAAAGGGCATAATCAGAAAGTGACAGTTTGTTTTTTGGTTTTTTAAATCACAATTTGTATGCTTTTTTTAAGGATTTTCTAATGATTAAAGTACAAATATTGGACCATTTGGCTTTTGGTGGTCTTTTGTTTTGACGGATTTGCCCTTTTTGTTTGTTAAATTATTGCATTTATATGTATGGGGTGGGTTAAATGAACTCATTACAACAAGATGGTCTCATGTGATCCCAAGTCTTGTTATACATCATATATAGCATAAATTTACCCGATTAATACGATGGACTATTTCAAAACAATATTGTTTACTTCCAGTCCCATATGCTAAATTAGTCAGTTCGGCCTTTCTTAAAATAGCAAGAACTAAAGCATTAAGAGTAAGATTGGTACGTCAACAAGACCAAACAAAACTAGATATGACTGAACAGACAAAAGATGGATAAGCAGGTAAAAGAATTCTAGAACATCTTACGGTTTTACTATATGGGTTGATTAGGAAATTACTGATCTTGTCATATCTACCTTATTTTCTGTTGGAACAAAACAAAGGCATTTTTGTCCCACTCCACTCGGGTCTTGTCTTGTCTTAATCTAATGTCGCACCAAATGTGAGACAACAAGTTCTTGTATTATCTTGTCCTGTACCGTCTAGTCCAACACGGGTTCGGCCCTACATAGAAGGATACAGTGGCACGGGCCACTGCTTCATGGTTCCTTCGTAAAGGGAAAAAAAATTCGTTTTTGAATAGTGTCACTATATCGTTTTGTTGGTGCCACGATATAGTTTTTGAAACTGAAATGTTTGGGCAAAATTTAAGGGCAAATATGGTAAATGTTCCTACCTTTGTACAAAATGCCTAGGTTCGAGTCCTATTGGCAAACTTGTTCTTTTAGTTTCAATTTTGGAGTTCTTTTATATACTTCGTGTATTTTTAAAAATATACATTGACAAACACGAACATTGGTCTCTTTTTTTTTGGATTAACCTAGATATCCAACCTGCTAAGCGAGCCGACTAATCCTAGAACGACCACCTGCTTTGCAAATAGCTCATAATCACCACATTTGAACCTCCGTGGCCACAAAGGGATTTTTATTCCTCTTTGGATTTGAACCTGAAACCTCCTGGTACTTTGACCTTTGAAGTCAAGCTCAAACCAATCAGACACCACCCTTGTGGTTAAATATTGGTCTCTTCTATGCAACACAGGGAACAACCAACAAATTTATACTAATTTTGTGATGTTTTTCTTTAGATATTTTTTTATAGTCAAATAGTACACCACTTGAGAAAATTTCTGGATCCGCCAATATTCCATCTTACCGAACACGGGGGTGCTTAACTTGGGTATTAATAGGTGAAGAATACGCTTTGATTCGATAAAATGCAATAAACGATCACTTAAAACCGAATAAATATCCATACCCTAATTACATTCCCACAGACGGGGTGATTTTCTCAACGATCTCATTTCTTATCATACGCGTTATCATTCATATTCCCTTAAATCGAACAAAAAAAGAGTAGTTAATAGCAAGCACGGGGGGATCCATTCTATTACCGCTTCATTCCATCGTTTATGGTGTGAAAAATTATAGAGTCGTGAAAGTGTCACCGTATTATTTTGTTGTGTGCAACCATATATATTTTAAAACTATAATGACGACATAAATTTACCTGAAACTACAATGACGACATAAATTTTCCCTTGGTAGAGTTCGTTTGCGCGGCTCTTCTCCCCCCTCGGGACTTCGAAATATTTTGGGTCCGACCCTGATCGCAGATCAAGAACCCTTTCTTGCTTTCTACCAAAGATTATAACCAACCTTACCTCCATAACCCACAAAACATTTACACAAACTTGGTTGGTTTCAACATCTATTTGTGATTTAGAAATATATCTACAATGAAAACAAGAAACTGAGTTTGCATTTGAAATGACAATAATGACCCTAGTCGAAAAGTGGTTATTACATAATCATCCGGTGTTAACCATTGGCATTAGCCAGGAGTCCATCTGTGTCCACTCCATTGTGATTTTCTAGTTCTTTCATTGTTGACCCTACAAGTAACTGCAAGAGCAATGGGGTGGAAGATGATCAATATATCGATGCATATCAAGATTGCAGAAAGTGAGGTTATAATAGTAATTCCAGAGTTTTAGGAGGTTATAAGGGGAAGACCAAACTTTAGGGGTATGGTTGACTGTGACTATTTTTGGGTAACTGAGGGCCAGCTTACGAGCACCAACTAATCCTCGGGAGACCACGAATGACCCGAAGTCATCGCAGGTAAACCTCCATAGCCACAAGGCTTTGGCAGCACTGGATTCGAACCCGGAGAAGATAAGATTCCACTACACCCCCCCTCCTTGGGTTGAAGACCCCCGAATTGAACCACAAGGGTGGTGCCTGATTGGTTTGAGCTTGACTCCAAAGGTCAAAACTACCAGGAGGTCTCAGGTTCAAATTCAAGGAGAAATAAGAATCCCCTTGTGGCCACAGAGGTTCAAAATGCGGTGACTTCAGTCTATCTGCAAAGCAGGTGGTCGCCCTGGGATTAGTCGGCTCTCATAGCGGGTTGGATATCCAGGTTAATCAAAAAAAAAAAACCCCGAATTGTGAATAGGTGTGTGTGAAAAAGTTCTAACCCGATAGGAGTAAGTTTGTATCACATGAGATTTTACTCTAAAGTCACATATGACTTGACCCTTCTTGCAAGTTGACTGTCTTCTCGTTTTTAACCCGAGAGGTACAAAAAACTTGCCAAAAGATTTGGAACTACACATGAACACTTTCATCTAAATACATGTATATATATATATATATATATATATATATATATA